GAGGTAATAATAGTATCTGTAACCTGGATGAATGGAATATTTCTCCATTCTCCTCTATATAATTGTCTTTATGTACTGTTGTTCTGGCCCCCGCTTTTTAGCTTCTTGCTTGTCGGGGTTTCAGTTTTATATAAATTTGTCGTTTCCAAAAAAATATATAAAGGGAAATAGATAAATATGAAATAATATCAAAATCTTATAGGTGAAATTAAAAAAAACCAGAATCTTCATCTTCTTTCATGTTAATTGAAATTAGGTTAAAACCCGTAGAATCCACGGATGTTAATTTTAAATATAATTAGAAATTTAATTAATTATGTAATAAAGTAATATATCATTAATTTCGAAAACTTATGAATTGTAATATTGTATTTTTTGAATAACTTTATGAGTTGTAAGTATTTAATTACACATCAAAGGGCTTCTAGCCCAGCGGTATCCGGTATTGTCCTCCCTCCTTGAGGTTGAGGGTTCAAGTCTCGTCGTGGACATAGGTGAATTTAAGGTGTAGTTTAGGAGTATGTTAGATTTGCTGTTCCAAAAAAAAGTATTTAATTACAAATTGAGATTTTTAAAACTCTTACTTTTGGTGCATGATTCTCGTTTAACATACATAGATGATGACACAACCACAAAGGAGTGGGTGGGAAGAAAAAACGTTTGTTAGCTAAAACGCCACTTTTGCCATTATAACTTACCATCTTAATAAATTTTCAACTCCACTAACCTTGAAATCGGTGCAATGGTGGTGTTTTTCTTAGAATATGTTCTCTATTTTTAAGAACTTTCTAAATTTTAAGTATTTAATTAAAAATGTAAATCCACCTATTTTATAAAAGTCATGACTTTATATAATGCAACATATGTTTAAGTAATGACAAAAAAACCCAAAAAAAACATCGAAATTGATTTGATAAAAAAAAAAACAAAACATGTCTGTAATGAAATTAACATAAAAAAATACAATACGTAATTATAAATAAATAAATTAATATGATGGATGAAGTGTGATTTGATAAAAATGAGTAAAAGATGCTACAAAAAAGTTGGTTATAAATTGCAAAAAAACTTCCTTATAAACAACATTTGAGGTTTTATTTATGAGTGTATCATCTTTATCTAAAATTAATAATTTTAATCCATCTCTACTTTGAACTCTAGATATGGCAACATATAATTGCCCATGTGAAAAAACTGGATCTTTCAGAAACAAACCAACGTTCGATAACGATTGTCCTGGACTCTTATTAAGACAATATCAAAAAATTATTGGGCAGTTAGACATAAAACTATTCATGAATCATCCTCCAATAAACTGGAAGATCTCATCTCACTGGTTTGTAAAGGCCAAAAAAAATGTCAGATTACAACATTCTTCAACATACTTGGTTACCTTCTCAAATTCGGAATATGATTTTTTACACGATACAACAAAACATTAGATTCACAACTACTAATTGAAAAAAGAAAGCAACAAACATTGGTCTGATGACAATTAAAGTGTGAAATCAGAAATAATCAACCATGGCGCAATGCAATGAGCGAGTTTTATGGGATGTGGCTGTTACGAAACTGAGAAGGATTGAAGAAGATTAACAAATATAGTAAACAGATAAAACCGAGAATGATTGAAGAAAAGCACACCTTTTTGTTATGAAGACGTCAAAGAAGATTGAAGAAGAACTGAAGAAGAATAGCGTTTGCAAATAAAGCTCAGAAGCAGAATCGTGGATTTTATATAATATAGATCGTAAAGATGATTAATATATGCGTATGCATTTATTTTGACCTGATTATTTGGGATTTAAATTTAAATTTCGAATTTCATGCATTTCTGTTTTGTGAAGATATTTAGTTTCCTTTGCCTAAAAAAATAGACGTCAAATTAATTGAAAATTTGTTCTAATTTTTAGGGAATTTTCAGGGAAATGATATAAATTGAAGATTGAAGATTGAAAATCGTTACAGGTAATTTTGGTATGGAATAATTGAAGGATATAATTTATTCGTTTTTTGGTATAGAAAGGTTACATGCAATTGTGTTTTGTAGGAGATAATTACCAATAGTAAATGAGGATTTGAATTCATTTATCATTTATAAGGTAATAAATATAATTTATTATTTTTTTTATTTATTATTATTATTTTTATTTTTTTTTGAACGGCAAATACAATATAATCCTAAACTATTCTTAAATCTACCTATGTTTCCGACGAGACTTGAACCCTCGACCTCAAGGAGGAAGGGCAACATCTGATACCGGGCTAGAAGCCCTTTGGTAAATTAATCAATTTCCAATTAAAAAAACAAACTTTCGGATATTACCGATTTTGAATATTTTTTGCATATATATTGTGTACAGGAAATTAAGGCTATTTTGGTAAATTCAGTTAAGTAAAAGAAGCGGGAAAATATGATTTTGGGGGGCTTAGAGATTGACACGTGACGAGTTTGTACTTATTTATTAGATTAGGGGATCATAAGACTATCATAAATTTAAGAAGAACGGAATCCTAGTTTGAATTTAATAAGCCCTACAACCAATAAAAGACTCTCAGAAACGTTGTGGTTTCTTACAGAAAAGGCCAAAGAAAACCCTAGAGGTCACGATTTTATAGTCAATCCTTATTTATTTATTTTTTTTACTTGTTAAATTAATTTATTTCTAATCTAACACCTAAATTTTATATACGACTATATATAAAATTTTCCTTCCATTTACGTTTAGCCTTTTGTCAAATTTTACCCAATAACATTTTTCCTACACGAAAACAAGTAAAAATATAAAGCTAGACAACCTTTTTTATTATTCAAGTTTTGGGGTATCAAATAACATTTTTCCTATACGAAAACCAGTAAAAATATAAAACTAGACAACCTTTTTTATTATTCAGAATTTGGGGTATCATACGGACTTTAGTATTTCCAACACCTTCCCCCAATTTAATCAACTTCAACTTATTGGTTAAACAAGTATGTTGAAATGCACACGAGACTTCTGTAAAAATATTAGTTTTTTGAAGTTAATTATCAATTTAAACCACCTTGATTATACTGTCAGCTACCTTTTCACAAACAAAACAAATATCTACTTCCATGTGTTTTATTATTTCATGAAACACCTGATCGGAAGCTAACAAAATCACATACTTCTTAACCATACGTCATTCAAAAAAAAAAAAAAAAAAAAAAAAAAAAAAAAA